GAAAGACATATATTTCCCCTGAAGAGCAAGTGCACTTTCTTCAGATGAGAATTATGTAATAGGATATTCCCCTTTTTTTGCCTTGGCCACCAAGAAACTCAATTATAAATCTTATGTTTAAAAAGCGCAGAGGGTGCCTGGGTGGCTCAGTTGGTTAAGCAACTGCCTTTGGCTCAGGTCATGATTCCAGGGTCCTGGGATGGAGTCCCACATCGGGCTCCCGGCTCAGCGGGGAGCCTGCTTCTCCCTCTGACCCTCTCCCCTCTCATGCTGTTTCTCTCTCTCTCAAATAAATAATAAAATCTTTAAAAGAAAAAATATAAATAAGTAAATAAAGAAATAAAAAGCGTTAGAAATGGGGCACCTGGGTGGCTCAGTCAGTTGGGCGTCTGCCTTTGGCTCAGGTCATGATCTCAGGGTTCTGGGGATCTAGTCCCACATTGGGCTCATTGCTCAGCAGGGAGCCTGCTTCTCCCTCTCCCTCTGCTACTCCCCCTGCTTGTGCTCTCTCATGCTCTCTGTCAAATAAATAAATCTTTAAGAAAAAAAAGCACAGAAAATACCTATTATGACAGCAGCTAGTATTTATTATTTACATGGTGCGGTGTGCATGCTGAATCCTTTATATTCAATATCTTACGACAAGCCCAAATTCATTCATTCATTCTACTGGTACTGAATGCTTATTACTACATGACAGGCAGCATTCTATGTGCGTGGGGACACCTTGGGGACCAAGACAAATCAAAGTCCCCGTGTTTAAGGAACTTTCATTCTGGTGGGAGAAGAGAAAACAATATAATTATGTAAACTACACTGTACGTTGGTTGGAGGGTAAGTGCTGGAGATAAAAAGAGAGCAGGAAGAAGGATGGGGAGTAAGGGGAGGGCTCAGTTTTAAATAGCATGGTCCCTGCAAGGCTTTCCTGCAAAGGTAACAACTGGGAGTCAGCCAGGCAGATGGCGTCCTAGTACAAAGGCCCTTCCTCAGCAAATGTTGCACTGTTCCCAGGTGCAAAGGCCGAGAAGGAACAGAAAGGAGGCCAGTGTAGCTGGCTATGGGAAGGGAAACATAAGGCGGTGAAGTCGGAGAAGTCAGGGAGGGGTGGCAGCCATGGAGAGCCTACTGAGTGGCAAGCACAACTCTGGCTTTTCCTTGGTGGGAGAGGGCAGCCCCTGGAGGGATCTGAGCAGATTTTCTGCTGAGGAGTGGGCAAGTGAGACAGGACGCCAGTCTAGCAACACGGGTGAGATGTGGTGGCCGCCATCAGGACAGCAGCAGAGAAAGGAGGCAGAAAGGAAGGCAGAGGGGTCGGGTTCTGTATAGATTTTTTTTTTTTTAAAGATTTTATTTATTCATTTGAGAGAGAGAGAGAGAGAGAGAGAGAGAGCGCATGAGCAGGGGGAGAGGCAGAGGGAGAGGGAGAGGGAGAGGGAGAAGCAGGCTCCCCGCTGAGCAGGGAGTCTGATGTGGGGCTTGATTCCAGGGCCCTGGGATCATGACCTGAGCCGAAGGCAGACGCTTAACCATCTGAGCCACCCAGGCGCCCTCTGTACAGATTCTGAAGACAGAGTTGGGAGATTTTCCTGTGGGGTTGCGAGAAATAAGAACTCAGGAGGACTCTGGGGCTTCAGATCTGGAGTGGCAAGGATGGAGTCACCTTTAATGGACACGAAGACTTTGGGAGCGACAGGTTTGGGGAAGTTTCGTTTTGCACAAGTTACACTTTGGATGCCCAGTAGACATCCAAGCTGAGACGTCCAACAGGCAGCTGGACTAACGTGTGAGGCTCAGAGGAGAAACGCTGTCAGCTTACAGGTGGTATTAAAGCCACAAGAGTGAAGGTGATCCTAGAAGGGGCGGCTGGAGCTAAGGCAGAGGGTCACCATGGGAGCCCTGGGGCCCTCCAACATCAAGAGGCTGTCACGGAGACTCAGCAAAGAAGCAGAAGCAGCAGCTGGCGCGGTGGGAATGTGGTCCTGTCGGGCACTAAGCCAGAACCACTGCTGTTTCCACGTGAAAGAAGAAGCAGAGGTTCGTGTTGGGCAGGGCTGGGGGCGGGTTGTTGCCGTCTACTCTTAGCTGCTTCAAATCTTTCTTAGAAATCTATTTTAAAGGCGCCTGGGTGGCTCAGTCGGTTAAGCATCTGCCTTTGGCTCAGGTCATGATCCTGGTAACCCCGGGATCGAGTCCCGCATCGGGCTCCCTGCTCAGCGGGGAGTCTGCTTCTCCCTCTGTCCTTCAACCTGCTCTCATGCTCTCTCTCACTAATAAATCAACAAAATCTTTTAAAAAAAACTATTTTAAGGTGAATATACATTGAAATGACATTGAACAAGTCACTTAACCTCTAATTTGCATTTCCTCATCTATAAAATAAGGGTCTATAATTTCACACCTGAGTGCTAATCTCAGGGTTCTTGCGAAAAATCAATGAAACAATACTATAGAAACGTGATCATTTTTTAACTCGAAAGCTAATGAAGATCAGTTGAGAATCTTAAAAATGTATATATACATCAAGCTAAGGAAATAAAACTTAATTAATAGCTCTTGGGTGAAAAATGCCACTTTACAAACACTCTTCTAGCAAAATATTATGACAAAATTTTTTCCATTATTCATATTTTGATGTGAGTATAGAATAGGTGGGTTTTTAAAAATATTTTATTTATTTATTTGACAGAGAGAGACACAGCGAGAGAGGGAACACAAGCAGGGGGAGTGGGAGAGAGAGAGAGAGGCAGGCTTCCCGCCGAGCAGGGAGCCCGATGCGGGGCTCGATCCCAGGACCCTGGGACCATGACCTGAGCCGAAGGCAGATGCTTAAAAGACTGAGCCACCCAGGCGCCCCTAGAATAGGTGGTTTTAAAAAGTACTCATGTGTCAGTAATGTCTCACAACTGTGTAGCTGTGGCTGCGTGAACCAATGACTCTGCTGTGGGTCCACAGGGACAAGGAATTGTCCTGTGTGTGGTGTGGTGTGGGCACTGTTCCTATATTTTACAAGACAGAGAGGCTTTTTTCTCTTTGACTTACATTTTAATAAACAATTATCCTCAGTGGGGGGAAAATATGTACATATACATAAAGAGAAAGAGAGAGAGATTTACAGGAGACAGACAGAAATACTAGGGATATAGAACATGCATCTTAAAAACTTCAACTAGAGAAACATCCCCATTTACCTCTGTCTACCTTACAGGCTTGGCCCTGTTGAAACCCACAATTTCTGGGTAACAGCTTCCAGTTAAGTAAATAGATAAATCCACTAGTCATGAGTTATTTGGCAAGCACGTTAAGAGGAAGTTCTTTTTGGATGTCAGTAAAGTTGGCAAATTACCTGTTTCATTACGTCCAAAACACTTTGTGTTCCTCAGAAGAAAGGTGTCACTTGAGACACTGCCACTGCCTAAACATGTAAAAAGGCAAACCAGGCTAGGGATGTTTCCACTGTCATGGCTTTTTAACGACGTGAGCTTGTCTGTCTCCCTACTGGGATCAAAGTGTACCTCCACATCTCTGTATTTCTCTTTCCTGGGCCTATCTCCAGGTAGGCTTTCTGCCTTTTGTGTCTCCAAGCCCCTTCTCGGTATCTCACTAAATTGTCTGATCGTCCCGGAGTCTTGGGTTTCCCTCCTTTTCCCCTAGCTGGGTTTCTGATTCTCTCACTTGGGACCTTGCCCTCAGCGGCTGGTCCACTCTCCAGTTTTGCTCAATAAACTCAGATGCACTCTCATACACACATCTGGCATGGAGGCCTGGGTGACTCATTGGTAGACTTTACAAACAAAACGTGCCTAAAAATAAATTAAGCACTTTCCAATTCATTCCACCTTATCTAAAATGTGACTGAATTCTGTCCAAAGTGCTAAGTGATATGGTTATTAAGACAGAACATCTCCATTTTATTGCATTTTTTTCTAACGTTTCCCAACTAAACATCTACATCGACAAAACAACAATGTCTTTCTTGAACACACCCTTTCCTGGTGATAAGTTTCAGAGATCTGAGTGTCATGTTTAGCTAAATTCAACTACTATTTATTGAACACCCCTCTTATATTTATTTTTTTAAGATTTTTTATTATTTATTATTTTTTTAAGATTTTATTTATTTGTCAGAGAGAGAGAGCATGAGCAGGCTGGGGGTGGGGAGCAGAGGTAGAAGGAGAAGCAGGCTCCCCACTGAGCAGGGAGCCAGATGAGGGACTTGGTCCCAGGACGCTGGTATCATGAACTGAGCTGAAGGCAGACGCTTAGCCGAATGAGCCATCCAGGTGTCCCAAGATTTATTTTTAAGTAATCTCTGCACCTGACACAGGGCTTGAACTGACGACCCTGAGATCAAGAGTGGTGCGCTCCAAATGAGCCAGCCAGATAACCCTGTTGAAGACCTCTCTTAAAGTAAACAGCCCCAAGCTAAACCGCAGACATTGCCAAGCACTCTTCTGCATTTCTGATTCTGCCTTAAGCCAAATTCAGCCTGTGAACATTCAGCCACTTCATACGCAAATGAGACATTTTTAATGCAGTAAAAATAACACACTAAGCAGGGAGCCTCAGTATGAAACAAATATTTAAAAAACTATTTCACTAAATATATGTTGCAACTTTTCTACAAATGTAAAATTATTTCCAAACAGCAAGTAAAAAACATCAGAATATTTTGTCTCTATATAATGTGCAGTCTTTAAATTTTTAATGTCACTCTACCAACCCAGATCTTGCCAGCCCTCAAAAGATTCTGGGCAAGAGCAACATTTTGATGCAACAATTTAAACATGGATTTTTGGCTTACTTTGTTAGTTTACTTTGTCGCTGGATGATGATCACACGCAGCCCTGCTGCCAAGGGAGGTCAGAGCTCAAAGGTATCAGTACGGAAACCTAAGTCTCAAGTTTGGACAGAGACTGCAAACAGAACACCCCATCTGATGGGCTTGACAGACCTTCTGTACTCAGTAAGAATCCGGGGTCCAGCACGGGGACTGAACTTACTTCAGAACCTGGAAGAGCCCAGGTGTCACAGATGTTGGTCTCACCATCCCAGCTCCACTAATGGTCCCCAGATGAACCTGAGGATAATAGACTGTCCGAAGAGCTAATCTTGAAGACTGCAACCGTGTCTTAATGACTTCTAGTGGACACGTAAAAATAGCACCAACCGTGCCCCCACACCTGTAAGAGAAGAAATCACAACAGGATCAGAAAAGCTATACTATTGGGCACCTGGGTGGCTCAGTTGGTTGAGCGACTGCCTTCGGCTCAGGTCATGATCCTGGAGTCCCGGGATCGAGTCCCGCATTGGGCTCCAGTCCCGCATTGGGCTCCCTGCTTGGCGGGGAGTCTGCTTCTCCCTCTGACCCTCTTCCCTCTCGTGCTTTCTATCTCTCATTCTCTCTCTTTCTGAAATAAATAAATAAAATTTAAAAAAAATTAAAAAAAGAAAAAAAAAGAAAAGCTATACTATTCCCTAGACTGATAAAGTATGAAATTTCATTTTTCTCTCTTAAGAAAAAAAGGCACCTGTTTATTTCATAATTAGAACATACTAGGAGGTAAAAAGAATTTGTTGAAGTCTCAGCAGCTAAAGAGAGAACCACTGTTAACGTGATGGCGTGCCCTTTAGGGTTTTTATCACTGGCTTTTTAACGTCCCCTCCCCAACTTCCCTGGATGCTGTGGTCATCTCTCTGTGGCCGCATCTATACCTACCCACACCATCTGTGATGGTTACACACTAGTACTCTCTGCCAAGGTCTACCATTTTAACCCATTAGTACTGTTAGCCATTTCCAACTCTGCTGCCATGCTGCAGTGAATATTCTATTTTTTTTTTTTTTTAAGATTTTTATTTGTCAGAGAGACAGAGGGAGAAGCAGGCTCCCTGCTGAGCAAGGAGCCCGATGCGGGACTCATCCCAGGACCCTGGGATCGTGATCTGCGCCGAAGACAGCCGCTTCACTGACTGAGCCACCCAGGCGCCCCTGCAGTGAATATTCTAGACAATGCATCTTTGCACAGTCAAAAATTATTCAGATAATGCCATTTTGAGAAATCAACATTCACTACAACACAGACTTCTATTAAAATACGATTAATTTGGACTCCACTGAAAATAAAGCTAAAGCTCCTTTTAACGATGAAGTCTTCAAGCATCCTTCAGTCTCCCTGATCAGGGTTCTCCTCACCACCCTTTACAATTTGTTCATGTCAAAATATTACCCAAATTAAAAATTTAAATATTTTTCAAGACAACTTATTTATCCTAAAATACCCACTTTCATCTTTTCTTTTTTTTTTTTTTTTCAAGTAGACTCCAAGCCCGGAGCCCAACATGGGTCTTGAACTCATGACCCCGAGGTCAAAGCCTGAGTTGAGGGGCGCCTGGGTGGCATAGTCGGTTAAGCATCCAACTCTTGGTTTCAGCTCGGGTCATGAGATCGAGCCCCACGTCGGGCTCCATGCTCAGTGTGGAGTCTGTCTGAGATTCCATCTCCCGTCCCCGTTACCTCCCCGCCCCAGGGGCTCTCACACGTACACGCTCTCTCTCAAATAAAAAAAAAATTTTTTTTTTAAAGATTTTACTTATTTGACAGAGAGCGACAGCGAGAGCAGGAACACAAGCAGGGGGAGTGGGAGAGGGAGAAGCAGGCTTCCCGCGGAGCAGGGAGCCCGATGCGGGGCTTGATCCCAGGACCCCGGGATCGTGATCTGAGCCGAAGGCAGACGCTTAACGACTGAGCCACCCAGGTGCCCCTCAAATAAATAAATCTTAAAAAAAAAAAAAAAAGACCTGAGCTGTGATCAAGATCAGATGCTCAACCGACTGAAACACCCAGGGACCCCACATCTTTTCTTCTTTTTTTTTTTTTAGCTTTTATTTATTTATTTGAGAGAGAGAATGAGATAGAATGAGCCTGAGAGGGGGGAGGGTCAGAGGGAGAAGCAGACTCCCTGCTGAGCAGGGAGCCCGAGGCGGGACTCGATCCCGGGACTCCAGGATCATGACCTGAGCCGAAGGCAGTCGCTTAACGAACTGAGCCACCCAGGCACCCCCATCTTTTCTTAATAATATCCATGAACTGCATGTTTGATGGCCTAGTTATAATTAACAATGTCAGGTACCATCTAAAACCATCCTACCACCGCCAATAAATGTTTTACTCTTTGGAAAACACTGATGATCAGGACCTGTGTCTTACTCACCTTTATATCCCCGACATCAGGACTTGCAAGTGCATAAACAGTATTTGCTAAGCCAAGGAATTATTAAATTGAGATTTCAAGGACAATGTCTTTCAAGGGATCTAAATGTTTGAAAATAGCATATACTCTCGGGGCGCCTGGGTGGCTCAGTCGTTTAAGCATCTGCCTTCAGCTGAGGTCATGATCCCACGGTCCTGGGATCGAGCCCCGCATCAGGATCCCTGCTCAGGGGGGAGCCTGCTTCTCCCTCTGCCACTCCCCCGACTTGTGCTCTCTGTCAAATGAATAAATACAATCTTTAAAAAAAAAAAAGAAAGAAAGAAAATAGCACATACTCTCTACCTTCTGTCACAGGCTCCATTACCCGGGAGCTCCATGTAGGGAGGGGCTGTGTATTCACATACTCTTGCACTGAGGATAGCACCTGGCAAACAGGTGGCTCAATAAAAATGATAAGCACCAGCACCTGTGATTGGGAAACAGTAACAACAGCAAGGGACAGGTGCTGGCAGACAGAGAGTACTTAAGTTAGCTTCCCTACGCCACCAGATGTAAATGTTGGAAATGTGGAAGTGAATCTAGCACCCAGCACAGACCCTGAAAGAATGAAGTAAACCTCCATGCAGTATTTTAGAATCAGGAGCCCGAAGTTCCACAGAGCAAGTAAAATGATGATAACTAAGAGCTGGAAGCTATCAGTTTAAATAACAGCATTACTGCCAATGACTATTCTGTGGCAGGCACTCAATCCCCCAACAATCCTATGAGGTAGGAGCTATTATTTACCCCCAATTTACCATGAGGAGTATGAATGTCAGAAAAAGAGAATGAAATGTACAGACTGGGGGAGGGTGGAGAGGAAAAGAGTAATTTTTGACTGTTTAGGCAAACCTGCTTTAGAATCATGATGATCGGGCGCCTGGGTGGCTCAGTTGGTTAAGCGACTGCCTTCGGCTCAGGTCATGATCCTGGAGTCCCGGGATCGAGTCCCACATCGGGCTCCCTGCTCAGCGGGGAGTCTGCTTCTCCCTCTGACCCTCCCCCCTCTCATGCTCTCTGTCTCATTCTCTCTCTCGCAAATAAATTAAAAAAAAAAATAGAATCATGATGATAATACACCGTAAATTGAACTGTTTACATACAACAGTGTTTTCTGAACTCTGGGCCAAAGCCCATCAACCACAAAAGCAATTTAGGGGATCACAAACAGAATGGGAAGGGAGAAGGGCAGGAAGGACTTGATGTATATCAGACAAGTACCATTCAACCCTCAAGGATTTTGCCACTGGTATTGTCTTTACTTTTTAGATGGGGAACCCTGGTCTCAATGAGGTCATACACTTTCTCAAAGTCACAAAGTGACGAAGTGGCTAAACTGAGACCCAAATCCAATGTTCTTCCCACTATACTCTTGGGAAGGATGATGGAAAGATAGTTTCGTTAGATAATTTAGACTATTTACATTCACACTCTTACTTGGCCAATAGCTGATTTGACAATAAGGCCTTTAAAACTCTGTTTGGGGCGCCTGGGTGGCTCAGTTGGTTAAGCATCTGTGGTTAAGCGTCTGCCTTCGGCTCAGGTCGTGATTCGGAGGTCCTGGGATGGAGCAGAGTGGGGCTCCCTGTTCAGCGGGGAGTCTGCTTCTCCCCCTCCCTCTGCCTCTCCCTAGCTCATGTGCACTTTTGCTCTCTCTCTCTCTCTCAAACAAATAAAATCTAAACCAATCAATCTCTGTGTTCTTCTGCACCAAGGAAACTTTGTGAGCCTAACTAAATACTGGTCTGTATAATTTGCTAAGCACTAGAAAATGTCTAAAGAAAATGGGATATCGTGGGGAGTCTTAAAAAAAAAAAAGTAAAAACTTAACTCATGTCCATTTACACGAAATTACCCTTACCTATCAGAAAAATAACCATGTGCTTAAAAGGTTTAATATTTTAAAACGTTGGAAAACTCACATACTACAGAGTAAGATAAAAAAAAAAATACTGAAATTTATTTATGTTCAATAACACGATTCCACAGTGCTGAAAAAGAACAGAACTTCTGGGTAGTCTTTCATAAGAAAGTCAACAAGTTCAAACACCATATAGGTCAACCACCTTTGCTTTGGCCCCATGTCAGTTACGTTCCTCACTCTGGTCAACCACCAACCAAATCCACGCCACTGATCAAAGAACGACCCACTGGACGGTATGCTTGCCCCACAAAGCAAGTGCCCTACTGATGGCAAGTCGGTGAGCTCTTTGAGGCTGGCAGACCACAGTCACAACCACACACCCTCTTGTATGTTATACCCTGGGCCCAAGGCGGGGCGGGGGGGCGGTGGTGGTAAAAAGGCCTCGACTGACCTTCTAGACCACTCACCAGGGGACAAACTAAGGCACTCTCAGGCACCTCTTCTACAAGACGGAGTGATGCTGCCTCAGTGTTACAACAAATGACAAAACGGGGAAAACACTGCCAACCGTAACCAGCGGTAAGAAGCAACTCTTCAGTAGGCGAGCCCCTCCCTACCTACTAGAAACCTTAGATGAGAAACAAGCATCGATTTTCAGTCATTTTAAATCATTTTTTAATTCATTAATACTTTAAGTTACTAAGCTATGTTGGATACATTGTCACTAAAATACTCCTGATTAGAAGGAAAGAAGTTCTGATACTAAACTGAAATTTCCAAACAAAATTCTTCCCGAAATTTAAAACATTTCATAGCAGAATTTTTATTTACTTATTTGTCAGAGAGAGAGAGAGAGAGAGAGAGCGAGCACACGAGCGAGTGAGTGCACAAGCAGGGGGAGCGGCAGACAGAGGGCGCAGGCTCCCTGCAGAGCAAGGAGCCTGATGCGGGACTCAATCCCAGGACCCCGGGATCACGACCAGAGCCAAAGGCAAATGCTTAACTGACTGAGCCACCCAGGCGCCCCATAGCAGAATTTTTAAAGTATCTTTCACTCAACTTTTTTC